ACAATATCAAGAAGTCTGGTATATTTATATATATCAAATTTAAAATATATATAATAGGCATATTATATATACATATATATGTGTGTGTGTGTGGAACATGAAGAGAAAGAGAGAATAGGGCCTGGGGAAATTTGACCTAATAATGTCTGAAATTTTACCAAATTTGGTAAAAAAACATCAACCATAGATCCAAAAAGCTCAGCAAAGCTTTAGCAAGATAAATATAATGAAAACCATACCTAGACATATCATAGTCATAGTTAAACTGCTGAAACCAAAGCTAAAGAAGAAATCTTAAAAGGAGCCAAAGATAAGACAACAATAAGAGTGATGGCTGACTTCTCATTTAAAAAAAAAAATGGAGGCCAGAAAACAATAAAATGATGTCTTTAAAATGCTAAAAGAAAGGTAATATGGTACATCTATTGTACGTTATATCACCTTCCTAATGTGGACTATGGCATCCTCCCATAATCAAATGCTTATGTAAATAAAGATTATGAGTATAGCCTTATTTTTGTTCAGGTCAGCTTCTGCTGCCAGATGACTTCTGGTGCCAAATTTTTTAAAAAAACAATCCTTTTGGTTTCAGAGCTTTTTGGATTTCAGAATTATAGGAAAAGGGTTTTTGGACCCATTTTACTTGACAGAAAAATTAACAATATGTATTTTTAAATGTTTACACCCTTTAAGCAGGGACTTATAAGAATCTGTCCAATGGAAATAATCAAGCCTGTGTGTCAGGTGTTATCTATAAGGACTCTTAAACAACATTTTTAATAATTAAAAAAAATTGAAAACAATCTAAATGTCTAAATCTAAACAATAGCCCACAGTTAGTTGAATTAATTATGGCAGTGGTCCCCAACCTTTTTGACACCATTTTGGTACCATTTTGGCACCAGGGACCAGTTTCATGAAAGACAGTTTTTCCATGGATGGAGATGGGGGGATGGTGGAGGGGAGGCAGAGCTCAGGCAGTGATCGAGGGATGGGGAGCAACTGTAAATACAGATGAAGCTTAGCTCGCTTGCCTCCTGCTGTGTGGCCCTGTTCCTAAGTTTCATGGAAGACAATTTTTCCATAGCAGGGGTGGCACGCAGGGTGTGTGGACTGGGTTCCTAACAGCCAGCAGGCCACAGACCAGTACTAGGCTGCAGCCCAGGAGTTGAGGACTGCAGAGTTATGGTATGTCTATACAATGAATGAACCACTTTGTAGCCATGAAAAATCACATTGTAGAAGGATATTGATATAGTGAAGTAAATAGTCATAACATGCAACATAAAGAGATCACAAAACAGTATGATTCCAAATGTTAATAGTAGTTATTGCTGTATGGTTTGATAGTGATTTTTTTTTGTTTACTCTTTTATATTTTCTAAATTTCCATCAGTGAACATGTATTCCTTTGTAATCAGAAAAATTAAGGCTTGTTTTTTAAAAAATTAAGATAATAAAAAGGTATTCCTATTGCAATTAAACTTTGGGTCAGATTGATTCTCTAAGTTAGGGATTGTTTTATTAACAAAGATCACAAAAAGTTCAGCATTATTAAAGCGATAGCTTTAGTGTATCATTCATATCCCCAGATCTAGTGTCTGCTCACCTGGATTTAAAGTGTCTCTTTAAGCTTCATTGCCTAAGGCATTTCCAGAAGGAATCTTGTTAAATGAAAAAATGAGATCTTTCATGAGGGATGCTGAACTGTTTCTGTTGCCACTTCAAACAGTCTCTGACTTAATCTCTGGAGACCAGCCTCCTCAGATAAATTGTCCACCACCACATTTAGTTCTTGGCTTGTTTTTAAAAAGTCTGCAAATTCTTTCATGAGGTCATTTTTTTAAGCTTAAATATCTACTTTGCTTTAAAAATCTATTTTCTCCTTTTTCAAAAAGAGCATACCAGGAGTTAAAATTGGATCACTTTTAGCAAGCTACATCATACATCTGGAATGAATTCCAGAGTATTAATATCATGGTATGTTATAGCAAAGACTGTCAAGTCTGATTTTTGCAGACCTGCTAAATCTGAAAGGGCAGTCTGGACAGCCAGCCAGCAGTTTGATCATTGAGCTGAGGTTTTTTCTGAAGTTATTCTTAAAGTCAGAGGGTGAAAGCAAAAAGGCCTGTAATGTGGTTCTACTTGAATAGCGATGCCACAGTGATAGGAAATATCTTCATTATCTGCACACTGGTAGGCTCTTATGATTAGATTGTTACAGTTGGAAGAGGCTTGAGATCTTGGGTGTTATTGCTTACCCAGTTGTTATACATCATCTACCTCGTTCTAGATAGATAGCATCTAGTATCTATTAGACTACTTATAGTAATAATTACATTTCCCTTGTAAATTAATAAGTTGATGTTCTAGTTTCATATGGTAGTCTTTATATACTTAATGTTTGCTAGAATTCACTGCTGAAAGCATGTGGACTAGGAATTTTCACTGTGGAAAAATATTTGATAACAAATTCAATTTCCTTAATAGATCTAATACTTCATATTTTCTGTTTTATCTTGGGTCCATTTTCATAAGTTCTGTTTTTAAGGAATGTATCCTTTATCATTTAATTTATCAAATTTACTGGCATAAGATTGTTCACAAAGGGCTCTTATTATTTTTTAAATGTCTGTAAGTGATATAGCATGGTATAATATATCCTCTTTCATTTCTAATATTGATAATTTGTATTCTCTTTTTTAATCAATCTTAATAGCAGTTTATCAATTTTGTTGATCTTTTCAGAAACCAATTTTTGACTTTGTTAATTTTTTCTGTTTTATTTGATTTTTATTTCATTGGGTTTTGCTCTTTATTATTTCCTTTTTTTCTGCTTTAGTTTTACTTTGATCTTCTCTTTGTAGTTTCTTAAGTTAGAAACTTAGGTCCTTTATTTTAAATCTTTCTTATTTTCCAATATAACATATAGAGCTATAAATTTCTTTCTAACCACTATTTTAGCTACATCCTACAAATTTCTTTCACCACTGAGTATGATATTATTGAGTTTTTCATATATGGCCTTTCTTATGTTGAGGTAATTCTCTCCTAATCCTAGTTTCTTGGGTATTTTTATAATGACAGTGTATTGAATTTTGTCAAATGATTTTTCTGTACCAATTGAGATGATCATGTAGTTTTTTCCTTCTTTCTGTTAATGGCATATTACATTGATTTTTATATGTTGAAACATCCTTGTATTCCACAAAAAAATCTCACTTGGTCATAGTGTATAAAATATGCTGCTGAATTAGATTTGCTGGTATTTTGTTGGGTATTTTTGCGTCAACATTCATAAGAGATGTTAATCTGTAGTTTTCTTATATTAATAGTGTCTTGGCTTTGGTACCAGGATGATGCTGACCACATAGAATGAGTTAGGAAGTGTTTCCTCCTCTTCAATTATTTGAAAGAATTTGAGAATGATTGACATTAATTGTTCTTTAAATATTTGGTAGAGTTCACCCATGAAACCATCTAGTCCATGCTTTCCCTTTTTAGGCAATTTTTGATTATCGATTCAATTTCCTTACTAGTTTCACAGCTATTCAGATTTTCTGTTTCTTCAGAATTCAGTCTTGGTAGGTGTGTGTTTCCAGGAACTAATGTACTTTTGGGTCAGGCACAGTGGCTCATTCCTATAATCCCAGGACTTCGGGAGGCTGAGGTGGGAGGATCACTTGAGGCCAGGACTTCAATATCAGTCTGGGTAACATAGCGAGACCCTATATCTACAAAAATTAAAAATGAGCAAGGCATGGTAGTGCACACCTGTAGTCCCAGCTACTAGGGAGGCTGAGACAGAAGAATTGCTTGAGCCTAGGAATTCAAGGTTGCAGTCAGCTGTGACTATTCCACTGCACTCAAACCTGGGTTAACAGAGCAAGACCCTGTTTCTAAAATAAAAAAAAAAATAATAATACAAAATAAAAATAATTTACTTTTGATTTCTTCTTTGATCTGTAGATTATTTGAAAGTATGTTACTTAGTTCCCAAGTATTTGGGAATTTTTCCAGAGATCTGGTCTCTGTGCACTTGAAAAGAATATGTATTGTGCTTTTGTTGGGTGAAGTTTTCTGTCAATGTCCATCTGATCAAATTAGTTGATTGTGTTGTGTAAATCTTCCATATCCTTTCTAATTATTTGTCTATTTTTTTCCCGCATTTCTTGAGAGAGAAGCGTGGAACTCTCTGACTGCAAAATGTATTTCTCCTTACAGTTCTATGAGTTTTTATACCACGTATTTTTAAGCTTTAGGTGCATAGACATTTCAGATTGTTATGTCCTCCTGATGAAGTGACCCCTTCCTTATTATGAAATAACCTTCTTTGTCCCTGGTGATCGTCTTTGCTCTGAAATCTGGTGCTGTCATGGTATATTTTTTCCATCCTTTTCCTTTTAAACATTTGAACCTTTATAATTAAAGTGTGTTTCTTGTAGGTGGCATGTAGTTGGGGTCTTTCTCATTTATCTAATCTGACAATCTCTATCTTCAAATATTTGAAAATGTTCCTATACCACCAATCATTTCTTCCTCGGACTAAACATCTTTTTATTACTATTTGTCTGATACTGTTTCTAAATCGTTCACTATTGTTATCAAACTCTTCTGTGCGTGCTTTGCTTAAAAGGGATATTTCATCACAATGGATGCTTTGAGTTGCCTTCTGCAAGAATTGCTTACCATTATTTATTACTTCAGTTGATTATCACAAAAAATCTGTATCTATTAGTTCCTCACCATTTCATTAAAAACCAATTTGGACCATCTGTTCCACTTTTCTTACCCTAATCATATTTTTATCTTGTCTGACTATTGACTTTTTGATCTCCAGAAAAATTTCAAGGAGACTTAACATAAAATCTATTAATTGTTTCCCTGAAACATCTGTTTTATCTCAGTTACATCAATTCTAGTTGAATTATTTTGAATGTGGATCAAATAAAATGAGACCCTAATAGAAAGGGTATTAAAATGTTTGCCCTTTTTTCCAGGTAAAAATGTCTCCATCGTATCATCAGTCCAAAGGGGATCCTACAGCTAAGAAGGTGAGTTTTATAAAGACAAAAAAAAAAGTTCCTCTTTCTGTGTGTTTATTCTCCTCTCTTGAATAATTTTCTCCCAAAATGGCAGTGATTTTTAATCATCTTAATGCTGCCAAAGATTCTTTCTGATTGGATGTTTTAACGATATGTCAGCAGGATTCCATGGCTCTTCCAGAGAAGCCAAGTTGGATTTTAGCATCAGTCTCCCGGCAACTAACGACTGTCAGTGTTCTAGAATTCCCATCTTCTATACCAGACATGGCATCCTGTTATCAGTGAGTGGTAGCAGATGAAAGATATTCTGAGAAGGAAAGCTATATAGTTTTTCTTATTAAGTGCTTTACCTCTAGAGAGCCATGCGTAAAATAACTGGCCTGTGATACTAACATTTCAGCACATACCAAATAAGGTCCTCAATAAATACTGGTGGAATAGACCTCTCTTCTGTGCCACTTCAGTTGCCAGCTGCAAACTTTGTGGCACAGGTAGGGTATTAGTGTTTCACTTGAGCAATGCTTAGATGATGTCAAGAGAACCACTAAAAGCCTTTTCTTTATCCAGCTGCAATAGTGCAGTTGAAACATGGTCAGCAGATTGATATTTTTGCTTGTTTTCCTTACCATTTTTCTTTCTCTGATAGTTGAAGTGTTTTCTTTCCTTGCCCTTTTGAACAATTTCAGCCAACATCCATGTCAGTGAAGGACTGTAGAACAAAAATAACAACTTGCTGGCTCTGTTGACTAACAGCAGTTTTTAGCTTCAAAGCAGTGTGCCAAAAATGGGCCCCTATTCTCTGCTTCAAAATTCCCTGAGAATTTTTCAAAAGAGAATAGAATAAAAACAAAATATGTTTTCTGAAAAGTCCTATAACATGCTGCACATGAAAATCTCTTTTACTCTTTTAACAAGAGCAAGGGCAGCAAGGGCAGCAAGACCGAGGCATGATTATTGCTACTTACAACCATCACACTGTAATGTGAGGAGCTGGAATGAGCCTAACTCATTTTGGTCTCACTCAGTAAATAAATGAGGAAAGTGGAATCCAGAAGCAATTGGGGTTTTTTTGTCTAAGATCTCCAGTGTTAGCTATGGGACACATTCCTAACATAGTGATTAAAAACATGTGCTTTGGATACAACCAGACTTGGATTCAAAGATTTACTCTTCTACTTATTTATCTGAATGACCTTGAATAAGTTAGCCTCTCCTTTTCCTCCTGTGTAAAATTGTGATGCTACCTCTCAGAATTGTTCTGAAGATTAAATAAAATGCGATACTGTTTAAATGCCTAGCACTGTGTTTGACACATAGTAAGAGCTCAAGATGTTGTTGACACTAGTATTAAAGTGCAGGTGTCCCAACTCCTAATCAGACGTCCTCTCATTTCATCATGCTACTTATGTCCATTCAGCAAGTACAGTTGAGCCTTCTTATTTGTGGGTTCTTCATCTGTGGATTCAACCAATCACAGATTGAAAATACTAAAAAATTAAAATTAAAATACAAATTAAAAAATATAGCATAACAACTATTTACATAGCATTTATATTGCATTAGGTATTTTAAGCAATCTAAAGATGACTTAGTATGTAGGAGGATTTGTGCAGGTTATATGCAAATACTACACCATTATATACAAGGAACTTGAGCGTCTGGATTTTGATATCCACAGAGGGTCCTGGAACCAGTCCCCCACATACAAAGGGATGACTGTATTTCTTTATACTAGATTCTTAGCTAAGCAGTGGACTACTGAGATGAAAACTACTTTCCTTGTTCTCAAAGGCCTCAGCATTTATTGGGAAGGGTAGACAGGTAAACCGATAATTACCATAAAACTTGACACATGCCATGGAAGGTGCACAGGGTGCTATGAGAGCACTGAGGAGAGGCCTTGTTTTGAAATGACTAAGCTAATTTGGTGCAACTTTTCTTATGTTTTTTATGTTAAAAAGCTTTATGAATAACTTTGAGGCATGGTTAGCTGGCCTCCTACAACCTTGTTATCAGGTTATATTGAAAACAAATTCTGCCATACATATAGGCATTTATTAAATAAATACGCATTTAGAATAGGTTCATGCAACCTATTTTCAAACTTGGTAATGTCCCAGCTCTTTGTCATTTTAGGTGTCTGACCTCTGTCAGAAATGTGGCAACATTACAGAAGCAGGATTCTGTTAGTCTTGTAATCAACATCAGTCAAACAGAAGCTACCTAAGCCAATGACTGGACACAAGTGGCCTCGGGTAGCATTCCTAAGTGGTCAGGTGTACACTGACTTCCTCTTTGTGCAAGAGTTGGGAGTATTTCTAAAATATTTTATCCAACCTTCATATCTTGAATGCCTGTTATTTTATCAATAATTTCCAATATTCACCATGCTGATTAACAAGCCAATAATTTTTTTTCACCAATAAAAAAAAAATCCTGCTTTTTGAGCTAATGAGCAAAGTCTTAGGTATTAGTCAAAATATGAACAGCTGAAGCACTTTTAGTAGCTGCTTTTGGGAGTTCATGTTAGCTGGCCACTCCTGAAATAGGAATTCTTAATTAGAGCCACTGACCACCCCTGAGTTGAAGCCCAAACTAAATACCATGTACTTATTAGCATACGGTTTATAGTATCTATAGTTAATTTAAAATACATATCATAGCAGGTGGCCATCCCAAACTATGGAGTCTGAGAAGGCTTCTGAGAGCAAGTAAAGCTTGATTTAGCCTTGAAAGGTAAGGGAAAAGGTATCCCAGGCAGACATGGGTGAGTACAGCACATTTTAGGAAGTGGGGGTGGTTGTGTATGTCTTAAATATAAAAGCATGGGAAAGTCTGGTGAAAAATAAATGGAGGTCCAGATCACAAAGAGCCCTAGTCTATGAAGTTTTCTTTTTATCTTGAGGATAAGAGTTTCCATCAAAGGTAAGATTAAAGGCAGAAAGACCAAGAATAATAAGACAGTTGTCCAGGCAAGAAAAAAGGTCCTAACTCTAGGCTGTGTTAATGGAGTAAAGAGATGAGATAGATTCAAATCTTAGCTCTTTTTCCCCCAGAAAACCTTTCCGACACCCTTCCTGAGTCTGAGTGGGCATCCTTCCTTCTTTGAGCTCATAGCACCCTGAACTAGTCCCTACCAATGCACTTAACCTTGATGTGTGGAGATTGCCTCTCTACTTAATAATGTCTGTCTCCCATTGCCTCATGAGGGAAGGAACCACATCAGTCTTGTTTATTGTTGTATCCCTAAATGTAGAACAAAGTAGTCACTTTATGAAAGAGATCCCACAAGACTTCGTGACTGTGTACGGGAAATGAGGGGAAAAAGAAGTTTCTGGCCTAGATAACCTGAGGAAAAACAAACGAAACATCATTGCTGTTCCAGCATGGTCAGTTCCTTACTGAATCAGCATTACTCTGAGATTTACGTGAAGATCAATATGAAACTGAACACCTAATTATTACTTCCCTAGTTAGGTGTATATTTTTGTGCATATATGCTTGTGTGTGGGTATGTATATCTGCGTATATATTCTGGTTCTCCTCCTTGAGCTATAGTCTCTCTTCACAAAGTCGCATTGACAGATGGATGCAGCAATAGTGTCTGAACAGTCCCTGCCAAAGTGACATGTGTAAGAAACACAACGGAAGCAGTAGTGTTCTTGATTTAGCCTAAGAGTCTCTGTTGACCGATAACTAAAGGAAGTGTTTGGTGACTCTGCTGTCAGTATTGGCCCTGCCAAGAGCTGGATTCAAGTGCTAAGGAAACAGGAGTCATGTTCTGTAAGGCTCTGCTAACTTCTTGGGACTTTTTCTTTAGGTGTGTCACATAGGAGTCACTTTTCAGAATGTCACTGTTCTGTGGCCATGTGTCAGAGTATGTGGCACATTCCATAGCACGTATGTTTTCACAAACATCTTGGATTATATTCTTTACAAAAG